CATATACTTTTTTATTAATAAAACTACCCTACTAATCCTAACCTAACTATGAAAAAAAAGTGTACAAAAAAGACCCTAAAATTTTTTATAAATTCATAATAAAATATAAAAAAATTTCAGCATCAGCCGTTTTCAGCATCAGCTGCGACAATAAATTATACTAATATATTTTTCACATATTTAGGTGCTGGGTTAAGACATGGTCAATTTTATGAAATTTGTGAAACTGTAGCCAATATGTGGCAAGATTTAGGTTACGATGAAGCATTATGTGAAGATTTACTAATAGAGCTTCATGCTTATAAGCGTAAAGAAAAACCTTATATTCAGCTATTTATAATGGAAAAGGAATCACCTTTAAAGTGGTGGCTCAGTATTGATGCTCAAAAAGACCCACTAACAGAACTTGCTATTAAAATATTTTCTATTTCACCCTTACAAGCTATATACAAAAGAAATTTCTCAACTCTTAAATGGTTATTTGGGGATTGAAGAACAAGACGTAATATATTTTGATTAGAAGCAATAGCAAAAATTCGAACTTTCTGTTACACAAATATTAAAGAAGAATTAGCTTTTTATGAAAAAGAATTATCTGAATATAATCTAAAAAGCAGTGTAAATGAATTAACTGATAATGCTAGTCAATTAGAATTCATTAAACAGCCAAATAAAGATTCATTTAATCCTATTTCTAAACCTTTCAGCATGCAACCAAAAGAAATTGGTAATAATAGTTTGTCAATTGAAAAAATTATTGACATTTCAAATCCTACATTTATTGGTAATAATTTATTTATTGAAGATCAAGGCAAAACATTAGATACAGTAACTCAACAGTTAGGTTTAGGAAAAGTTGATTATGATCCTGCAAGCCTGGTGGCAAGAATATTAAATGAAGTTAAAGAATAATTAAAGCAAAAGTGATAGGTTAACATTAAATATATTTAAATTTTATATAATATATAGCTAGTTATATATATGTTTTATATATTTACATAATATATATATAGCAAATATATATAGCAAATATATATAGTGAATATATATAGCAAAATTATATAGCAATAGTAATGTATGCAAAAATTATGTGCAGAATAAAACTATATTAAGTTACAGTGTATGAAAAGTTAAATTACAATATATAATATGGCATGGTTATATCGATATGTTACAGCACAAACGCATGTTATGACATGCCATAATTTAAAACAAAAAGTTGAAATAAGTTATAACTCAGTTACGTCACAGCATGTTCCAATGCTTTGAGTTTCTACCGCACCTCTAATCCCAACTCTTTTATAAAATTTTTAAAAAGTTTACTCAAATAATAAATATAGTAAAAAATTTTTTTTAAAATTTTGTTAAATTTAATCTAGCCAAGTTATAAGAACTAATTAATTAAGTTTGTATAGCTTTATATAACAATATTATTTTTTTTTAATATTAAAGATAACCTTTTTGGCTATAACTTTTTCATTAGAAGTTAAGTTTTAATTATAATAAAAGTATAATATACAACTTTTAATTATCTATTTTAAGTATTTTGTTTAGGTCTTATCAGTGTTTAAAATTCAATATTTTCAAAAAATATACAAATTTTTTCAAAAATATTGATATTTAAAATAAGGATTTCTTATTTTAAAATATTTTATTTATTTTTTTTTTAGTATTAAGATAATCTTTTTGGCTATAAAAAACTCTTTATTAGTAATTATTTGCTATTATAGTTACAATGAAAATATAACTAGCTATACACAGTATTGTTATATAGACACAGACATGAACATAAACTAGACCAAACCAGATATCCATGTCTATGATCAAATATTTAGATATTGTCCAATATTTGTTAAAACTTTATTAGCTATTTTATTGGTTGATTCTAGGTTGATCTTATTTTATATTATTCGCTAACTTTATCTCAACTACTTTTACAAATATAAACAATTTTCACTACTATACTTGAGATCTTCTTGAAAAAAATCAAGTTGTTTATTTTTTTTTTTATCAAAGCGGGATCTTGATCTCAATGCTTTATTAATTTTTAACATATATTAATCTATACAGTATTACTGTATGAACTACATAATTTAATTAATTGCATGTGAAACATAGAGCTATATTTTAACTATCTATATTTAAGATCTACCTATACAGATATATCTAAGTATCTATAGTATTTCCAATTTACTCTCGACCTAATTCCATCAGAAGTGATCACAAGATCAGCCCGATTTTAGGTTCTTGTATACTCACTCACAATTACCTTTTCGCAGTTGCCAAGGCTCCCACTTGTAGTTGTGACCTAGCTGTTAAGTCCATCATTTGACATCTTAGGTCCCTAATTCTGTGGTGTAGGATTCTATCGAATTCGCAGTTTTCTAATATTTGCTCATTGTTCAATTAAATTGCTTTTGCCCTTGTGAAGGTTTGCTGTTCTTGGACCGGATACCCACTTCACATTTCTTTTTACAAACTGAGTTTTGGTTTTACCAAACTTCCAAACCAGTTGGCCTGGTAGAGTTGGCTTGCCCAGGTATTAAGTGCCTTATGGTCTCCTTTCCCTTGATATACACTTCCAGAGCACATGTTCTTTTCTTTCGATGCGACTCCGGCGGCCAGTTTGGTAGAATCTTGAATTTATAAGAGTCTTGTCATTCAGATCCCCAAATCTTCAGTTGGTCTGATTTTGTTCTGTAGCATTGTTGTATTCTTACTACTTCCTAAACTCGAGTCTTGCCAAGCCGGTTTCAGTTTTTCTAGTTCTCTTTCAGTTTTATTTCAGTTTCAAAGACTTATTCTAGGTTTGCACTATCTAGACCAGTTTGCATTCCTTCATATAATACAAAAGCTCTAGAACCTTCTAGTATCTTGACAATAATGGTGTGACTGAAGTTACAGATAATTAACCCAACTAATCGATGAAGATCCATTACTATAATACAAAGAATTTTTATTTGAAATGTTACTAGTGGGATTTGAACTTCATATCTTTGATTAATATAGCTTGGAGGTATGACAACTAGAGTGAGGGGCATGGGAAAATATTTAGGCATGCCTAAGGAGGCATGCTCTGAGCTGGAGGCATGCTCACCAGACATGCCCTGGAGATATATTTGAGATTTTTATTTAACCAATCAGAGTATCTAGTTACATAACATGTACTATTACATGATAATTTAATTTTTGCATATTATACTGTATATAGATCATATTAAATTTCTTATTAACATTAACATTAAACCAGGTGTGAATTCACGATACTAGAAAAAAGAACTCACAGATAAATATAATAATCGAAGTATTTAAAATAATCTAATTTTATTAATTTTTTTACTAATTTTCATTATTTTAGTGGGTAAATATAAAGAATAATTAATTAAAATGCTTTAATGTAAGCTATTCCAAGTTCATAAGTATTTACTACGTATTATACTATCCTACTAATTAATTTTATTTGCTTTAATTTAATAAACAAGTATAAAGAATATTTATTAATCAAAGTATATTACTACTTTAATTTATCTATATTATTTTATTAAGCAAATAATTATATTTTATGTTAATTTAGTGGAAATATAAAAAAATAACTTATTAAAGTTCATGAATCTTTGCATTATTCTCTATCTTTGTACAGATTGGAATTTTATATAGTTTAACAAACTAAGTATATGCAACTTTTAATATTCTTTAATAAATATTGTATTTAAAGAGTTAATAATAAAAAATTGTTTTTATAGTATACTATATATATATTTTTATAGGTCTTCAAGAATTTCATTAATAGACCATTCATCCTCAACCAGTTGTCTATTTTGTTCTGTATTAACCTGATTATCATCAAGCATATTCTGATTTGTTTTGAGTATAGTAAAATTAAAGAATTCTTCTATAACTAACATATTATCTTGCTCCATTAAAACTTCTTCTAGCTCCTTACTTAACTCTTTAATTAAATCATTTTCTTCCTCCTCATCTATGACTTGCTCATTATCCTCTATAATTTGTTCATTCTCATCAACATTGCTATTATTGGGGCTTGAAAAGTTGGGAATAGCTTTATTTTGTTTTTTATTTTTTATAAGTATACCTTTTTTGAGTTTGTGCCTAAGTTGTCCAATTATAGAAAGACTATCAGGTATTAATTTATTTCTTTCTTTAGACTTGATTACTCCAAGTGATGAGAAAAGTTATTTGCAAGTAGCTACGTAGGGGACAATAGCAAAAACTTTTTTGGCAAAATGGCATTTGATTGGTGAGGTTTTAGCAAAATCAGACCAATATGATCATAAAAATTGTGAAATATTACTAGATTTGTGAAATGGTGGGTTATTATTTTTATAATTAATTAACTCATTACATAAAACTATAGCATTTATTTTAGTAAAATTCCAAGCTTTAGCTACTTCCATTGAAGCACAAAAAATATTTTTTTCACTTATTTTTTTTGATATAGCTATTTTTTTATATACTGGAGAAAGAAAGAAGGCAATGAAATATATATTACAATCAAATTCTTTTGCATGTTTGTTAATAGTGGCAAGAGCATGGTTTTTAAAACCATTAATAGGAATTTCAAGTTGTGATATATGTTGATAGATATATATGAGCTTCTTAAAAACATTAGCCAAACTTGAATCACTCATCTCTAACCTTCTAATGGCATTGACTACTGGCTTAATTACTTTAGTTAATACTTTATTGTTAATGAAATGATACTTGTTATAAATAATATTTTTTACTGCAACATTCTCAATTTTAGAATACTTGGGACATTCAGTTTCACTTAATATAAGGCAGTATCAAAAACTTTTCTCATAAGCAGATACTCTATACAAACCTTAGCAAGTGAGTACCATCTAGTTTCACAAAATGTAGTTAAGAAGTGCTTAATGCCTTGCTGTTTTTGCTAATTTTGCATTTCTCAATACTAGATATGCGATATATTAAAAAAATTGACGAGCTTCTGATTTTTTTTACAAACAGAAATAATATCAGAAAAACCAACAATATCCTTAATAATTAAATTAAAGACATATAAATAACAATGAATAGGAATAATATAAGAATATTCATTATTAAGCAGTTGTTTTATTTTTTTCATATTTGAGGGTTATTAGTTACACAGGCAATTGCAGATGATATTTGAATGCCATTTAAAGTTAGAACCTCTTTTACTTTATTTTTAAGAAAATCTCTTCTCTGCTGATATGTGGATAGGTTAAAAACATTTAGTAAGGTTTCTTGACATTCTTTAAGAGCCATAAAACAATAAATTGAATTCCTGAAATTGTCAGTCCATCATCAAGAGAAATTGTGAAATCTGTAAGTATTGAAAGGATATTTAATTTTTCTTGAAAATAACTAAAGAACATTTTAGTTAAATAGTAATCTTTAAACATATTTCAGGAAGAAAGATGGTAGAAGGGATTTAAATCATGAAAAAAATCTTGCAAATATAGATTTTTTACAAAGCAAAAGATGAGATTTCCATAAATAATCATTTTTAAGAACTTTTGGTTGAGTTTTTCATATTGTAATTAAGAAAAAGATCGAGAACACCAATCAATAATAGTTCTTTGACAGGGTTGAGATGTAGATGAAAGTTGCATGCTACTATAATCTGTTTGCTCAATAGAAATGCTATCCTTATTATTATGGATGCATTTTCGAAATGAAAGGTTTTCTTTAGTAATTTTTTGAAGATAAATAGTTTTTTCAGTAATAGAATAATTACTGTACCGAAGAACATGTGATGAAGCCTTTTAGATTTACTACTTAATTTACTCAAGCAGTATTTATACTTCACAGTATATCTATTTCCTGCTCCTTTAATTTCAGAACAATAAAAACTATACCAACGTTGGCTTTGTATTGGGAGTGGTAAAGCAAAACCAGTAGAAATAGAC